AGTGGGAAACATTTGCAAATCTATTAAGATGCTTGTTAGAAACAAAGTTGATAATGTGTATGATTCAGGAAGTACTTAATTTTTTGTTTGATTGACCAATGTTTGTATCTGAGTTTCATTTTGCTCCAGTTAGCAATTTAATTTCAAATCCATCTGAAACTTTCTCACAGACCTATTTGTATGGATAATAATTCTTGAGTGTTATTTTATCCGTGGGATTTAATCATCAGTGATATTTCACAGGAAAGTGAAACGGATTTCCAAAAGGAAGGGTTGGGTGTCAAGAGTATGGATGCCTCTTTATAGAGTGCAGTGCAAAGACTTGAGTGAATGTAGAACAATGCTATGACGAGCTTGTCTTAAAGGTAACTAAAATCCAGTGTACGTTATTCTGTAATTGATATAGCCTGATATTTTTATTAGATAGCCCTGCCTTGAGACAAGTGTATATGTTTGTTTGGATACAAGAGAAACATGGAAGCTAATTAAAGCTTTTGAATTTGGATAATTTAGCTGTTGATATACTGATATACTCATGTTCCTGTTTTACTTCTGAGACTTCAATTAATACCATATAATGTGTTTGCATAATCCCAGATAATGTACTAATTTTCTCTGTTACAAACTTACCTCAGATAAATGGCACAAAGTGCATTTTGGTTAGCGTGTATAATTGAAGGGAAATATGCAGTATTCTAACATGATTAAAAATCAGCATACAAATTTGTTTTTGCCTATGTAATTATTTTGATCATACAAATAATTATTTTTGACATTCAAGTGTTGGGACATGTATAACTGCTAATATCACTAAATCATTTGATTCATAGTAAAATTGCTAGATTCTTTCTGCATTTTTTTGGGCATGGATAGGGTATCAGTTTTCTCTGGCATTTGGGCTACCTTTTAGTGGTTGTGGGTGAGACTTTAAGTTTTTTAAACTCATCAAAATGGGTTTTGAATTTATCTTTTAATTTGTAGGGATAGTGTAGGCTTGAGATGGAAAGAATATTTCCTTCCTGGTTAGAATTTGATGCTCTGAGAACTGTGGTTGTCTATCTGAATTACTGCACGTCTATTTGCGATAGGCTGAGGCAAGGCACAATGTGTCCTAAGGCTGGATTGTTTTCATCATCACCATGTCCTCCCATTTTCAAATATGTGAAAGGAAATTAATTACAAATGCCCTGCCACAATTCTTCAATGTTCTTTCTATGTTAAAAAGTCTGTAATTTGCATAGTATAAACTGCTAGATTATTTTATGGAATCAACATCTTGATAGAAGTTATTAAATCTTAGGCTCAGATTATTAAATCCTAGAACCATCTACTGACAGGAAGAATCAAGCATATCATGCCCAATCCATTTTGCATGAACAAATCAAATTTAACATTTGAATTCTATTGTCTCGCAGATAAAAGCCACCGACAAAATTTTGAGGGATGCATGAAAGTACTTCATGCTGTAGAAATTGTTATAAGGTGTGATAAAGTACTTAGTTGGAATTGACCAAATCTCAAGTCCTTAAACTGGATTAGGGGGGTTAAAAGTCAGATACCTCCTAAGAAAAAAACAAAACTTGATTACAGAGGACGTAGGTTCTCCAGGTAAATTGGAAATCAGAGGATCTCCCAAATCAGAGGATCTCCCAAACCCAAGGCCTGGAGGTTAAATACACTGTCTTTGAATTCTATTGCCTTGTAAATGAAAGACTCGTACAATAGTTTGCTGGATATAAGTACGTCCTGCTACAAAATTTGTTTTAAGGCGTGATAAAGTGCTTGAAAATGTATGAAAGTTACATCATATAGAACTTCTTATATTTTATTTCTTTGTATCCTTAAAACACTGTTTTTAAAACACATGACAAATTTTAATACATTTCACTTATCTAGTTTGTCATGCTATCTGTAAAAGAGAAAATTTGACCCAATATTAATTTCATATCAATATAAATTGTGATTCTATACCACCAGAAGCACGTACTAGATGGAATATAAGTAATAGATTGCAAAACTCTTAATCAAAAGATTTGGATATTTATGTTATAAAAAATCACTTAATAAAATTTTCTTCAAACATTTCTATATCTATTTATGACATTAATGTGAAGAATTTGGTGTTAACGGACTGCAAAACAACAATCATCGAATGAAAGGTCTCTCCTTTATTATTAGAAAGTCTCTTTTAATATAATGGTTTGTATTTTATAGTCCAATATAATATCAAGTTTATAAAATACAATTTTGTACTACTAATTACAATTTCATTTTCAACATCTGAGTTCAGTTATTATATATTAAGTTTTTATATCCAGTTGAACAAGAAGGATGGCATTGGAAAACAAGAAAAATATGAAAGAGCAATGAACAAAATTAGTTCCATAAGCACCATGTAAATATAAGAGCATGACGTCCTCTCGTGCCTGTTTTCTTGACTTCTTCCAACTTCACTAACCTGCACACACCATTTTTTCTTGCGTTTATTTTTTTAGTACATTGATGGGTAACTTTCAAAGGTTTAAATCTTTCATTTAAATTAAAAATTAAAAATTTTAAATTAATAGGTATCAATTTAGTCAAATTCTTGTTGATCTTGCTTTTATTAGCATCATCAGCATCATTGACCTCGTATTAGACTAATTTGGTAAGTATTTCTGATCAACAGCAATGGATTTTCCTAGTTGTTTGACCAAAGTTGGTATCGTGTTGCCACCACCGTTGATCAGTCATAAGTAATTGAGGTCAATAAAGCGTGTCCATAATATATAACTAAACACATCCATTTGCCCAAATACAGCCGAATATATTTGGGTTTGGAATAATTTGGCTCAAATGTAACAGAACCCAACAATAGGATTGGATATGGATGCATCCCACCCGTCAGATTTTTTCGATTCCAGCGGTGGGGATGATCGAACCGTTTCGTGACGTGTCCCAATGAAATTGCCACATCATGTGACACGTCAGAGGTGCTGATCAAGATAAGAAAGAGAGTAGATTATAGGGGCTTCGCTTGTGTTAGGGCCGTCACGAATCAATCACTTTAGAGAAGCCACCACTTAGGGGTGCCAATTTTGTTTCTAAACTCGAGAAGTTTTGTAAGAATTTTATTGTAGGAGTAAAAATTTAAAGAAAATTTTTATAAAGTAGAGATAGAGGAAATTTTTTCTTGAAAAATTTTAAGAAATTTTTTTTGTTCGGTAAGCCCAGACCCATAAAAATCTGTATATAATAAAAATATATATAAATTTATTTATGTATATATATTTATTTATTTTGTAAGGTGATTATTGAATGTTAATTAGTATAATAAAAATTAAGTGATAAAATATTTAAAATTATATTGTTTTAATAAAATACTATAAGTAAAA